TGAACCTGGGCCGTGGAATTCCCTGGCCGTCTTCGAGTACGGGACGAAACATTACGGACATTACTTCTGGCGCGTAAAATGATATCCTGGAGGAAGCAATGCTCGAGAACGTAGGAACGTTTGCTCGCCATGCTGCACCAGATGTACACCTGAAATTTTCAAGCGAGTGGCCATCCACGTGACACTGATTCACGGCCACGCGCGACATAAGCACAGTCCGGGGTCTTGCTTCTTGCGGATGTACGTATCCCACTGGAGACCCCTGAGGTGGTATGACACACCAGTATAAAGACCCATTTCATACAATGCCGGCACCAGGTTCTGGACTTCATACCTTTGGATTTTGCCAAAATTTCCTCATAAAACTCTCCGCATGGAATGCTCGGTCGGGACGCTACAGTGGCGACAGGTTATTTTTCAGGAAAGCCAGGAAAGAAAATGCCAATAGTTCTTTTGTCTTTCTACGTTTTTCTAGCTTTTTTTTCTTGTCGAGGCGGCTCGTTACCATCTGTCGTGGTGCGTCGATGTCAGCTTGACGCACAGTGCTGTAGATGGCGTTGCTTTAAGGATTTCCGGAGCAATGACTTCTTTGTCCATATTCAATCAAATGGCTTAAAGCGATCCATGGAACTAAGAAATGAAAAGGGCTCGGCTATATATCAATATGCGCTGCTGAGATGAGCGCGATCTTTCTGGGCGGCCCGCCAGGATGCAGCTTCGTGTGTGCTTCGTTGGGGTCCACTTGCACCGGCCAGGGCCCAGGCCGCTCGTGGGATGCATGAACGCAGTGTACAAAACGCCATGGAATGCACACTGCAGTACATTAGGAACCATTTTACGACACATGTGTCTTTCCGGGCGGGATATGCTACCTGAACTTTGGAAACTTCTCGAAGAGTCTGAAATGGAATGTACAATGGACAATTGAAATGCCCAATGTCCACGTAGGGGATGTATTGAAACAATTCCACTTTCGTTCTGGTGCAGCATGGGAATGCAAGGCTTACAAGGGGGTTAGAATATTGAATAAATGAAGTACAAGCATTTCCAATATTAGCAGTAGCAATGTATTACAGCCGCTACCGGTCACAAACAATATTTGCGTGAAATTAGCCTTCCCGATGTGTTTTGCACGTGGGGGATCAGAGGTGTTGGATGAGGTGGGTATTTCTTCTTTTAGTGGTGCCTGAGATGGCCTGGTTGCCTGCAGAGTACCAGTCGGCTGGCCAGCACAACGCGAATGGGCGGAAGTCGAGCGCACGCGGAGATCACGTAAGTTACGAGAGCTAATCCTCCTCAACAATCTCGGACTAGTTTCTAACCAATTGAGCGCAGAATGGCCATTGCAAGGCGATGCGGTTGAGCGGCTATCTCCGGCGAGAGGCCCATTATCTTCTTCGCTGGGTTAGCTTCAGTCTGATTTATGCAAAGATGGCGAGTTGGGCTGTCACGGACACCTTTTAATGAGCATATCATACCAGCATGTGCACATCCCTGCAAAAGAACAACCGAGCCCATGTTTCCACACGCTGGGTGTGAGTCATTGGGCACCAGGAATATAGCGAATGAAAATGAGTATATAAATATATGGAAACCTTTAGAATGAATGAAAATAGCTCTGCCATATGGCCGTATGCGATTTGGGGAAGCTCTGTCCATTCGCCACGCAGTTGCCCGATCGTCGCCACGATCATCGATAGAGACTGCCCGCGGCTGCAATTACGTAATGTCAGATAGATCCTCGCAGATACTCTGGACTGTACTTGTATGTTAGAAAACCCCATCCATCCACTTCTTGCCACGAGAACAATTCCCGAATTTCCGCTAACGAAGGGAGGTGCACTTTTTGACACCAACGATCCTATATCCTATGCATGCATTTACATTGCTACACACAAATATTGCCATACAACACAATGAGCAAGTGCCTCTGAAATTGAAACAAATTCTTTCTTACCATGTACCACGCCTGCCACAGGGAGCTTGCGAAAGGTCCACGGAGCCAGGGACATGTGCAAGAACGCCAGGTTGCGCTGTGTACAGCTTTGGAGACGAGCAAGGGTGCTTTGACGTGGGCGAAAGTAAGTCATTGAGGAACCGAAGTTCTTCTTTCCGTGGAACCTTCGTAGCGCAACCGTTCACCCAGTGGTCAGGCTTAGTTTTTGCGTTTATGTTTTCGTTTTCACTTTTATGTTTTTACGCTTAAAAGCGTAAAATTGCAAGAGGACCTAATTTTACGGCTATTTGTACGTTTTTACGGCTCCCTGCACACCCAGGCTATACGATGAAAGTTGCGTACAATGATCAGTCCTCCGCCAACTCCAGCACCCACAACACAATTTCCACCTCGTCCTTGGCAAGGGCGATGATGGTGCTTAACAAAACCTCGTCTTCTGACCCTTCCAGGGCGCCTAGATGCCACTCTCCGGTCACCTTAAGTCAGTATGTACTGTCCTTATGTACACCGGACAGTTTTTACGTTGTATTTGGGTATTTTTACGCATTTTTACGCACAAAACGTAAAAACTTTTTTTGCGCGTAAAAACCTGAATAAAATCAGTTTTTACGGCGTAAAAAACAAGCCTGCCAGTGGTTTGTGGAACTGAAAGAATTTCTGCCATGTGGTGCCCACTATTGGCTACCTTGTTGAAAGAATGTGTTGACAGGAGACTGGTAATGTGTATTATACTCATTCTTCACGAAAGGGAGTTGTTTATACACGGAGGACAAATCCCACGATTTCTGTTTGTACGTACCTTTTGAGGTGGCTCCAATGGATGCCACCGACATGCAGTGTACGGATTCATGCAGGATATCGTTCCGCAGGTGCAAGTCGGCCATCTGTTGCTTTTCACATCAACACATTTGGACTCGGTATTTAGGTATTTAGGGGAAAGCATCCTTGCCGCCACAAGGTCATGGCGGAGAGGCTCACAGACGAGGAAGAGGCGCAGCTGCTGACTGGGCTCATTGTGTTGAACAGGTTTCAAGCAGCAGGACATTGATTTGGACATTGACATAAACGACATTGGCAACATCAACATTGAGCTTGCGGAAGCGGATTTCGACACAGAAGTAAGCGCTGTCTTTGATAGGAGAAAAAGGGCCAAATAACACGTGTTCAAACGTGTACAAAGTTTACGGGTTTGTGTTATTTTTGCGTTCTTGGCGTGTAAAGCTATGGTGAAATGTGTTTTATGTATGTTCGGAAAAGTGTTATTTTCATCTTTGATAACTATAGTTATCAATATTATCGTGGCTGGTACAGTTGCCACCGATTGAAGATCGACATCTATGACTGGAAGGGGCAATCTTCCCTGAGAAAATTCTCTCTGAGAAGATATTCTCTGAGGAGGGTTGCAATAATAGGCCAAGTCAGCCTATAATTTCAGCGCTCCTGCCAGCGCATTGTTGACCAGGTTGTAAGGAGCCATTCGCTTCCGCAACATCACCCAACGGACTGCGTCTAATCAGAAGCAGCGATCGCGAACACCCACAAGGCAATGTGGGTCAAAAACCGTCAGCGGAGCGCGCCCCCGAATTCTCCATGGACTGCCCGCGGGCTCCGTATGTGTTCGTGCTTTTTAGTTTTCGCATTAACTTCACACATTCCGTTCATGCCTCAGGCTAAGGTTGGTCTGGAGCGTGTCATCACCACCAACAGCAAGATCTACAACGACGAGATAAGCCTGTACGGCAGCATCGACGCAGCCATCGAGGCCAGCCTGCTGAAGCTGGCGGAGGCCAGCGCCAGCATAGGCGCCTCGGGGCAGGCGACCTCCTATGCGGCCGTTGGCGACGACCGGACCGCAAGGATCGGATTCAGGACGAGCTTCGAAGGGGGGCGGGACGCGGCTCTCACGCTGCCTGGAATAAAGATCGGCGCGGGGGGCGACAAATGACGAATAACACGCGAGAAACTCCAGACGGAAATGGAAAATGGACAATGGACAATGAGTGTTCGGCAATTCCAACGGTGAAAGCCCAAAAACGCGACGTTCAGTTGAGAAGCAACGATCACCTTGAGATCGCGTAAGTTCATGTGAATCGTGGTCAGCGGGAAGGGATGGAGCAAGTGCGAGGTGCATATGTGGCGTTAGAAATTGAGAGCGGCGCCGCCAAGGCATGGGAAGGTGCTGCCGGCAGGGACCCGCTGGATCAGTGGAAAACACAGTGGGCACCGATTTGACTGGGAAGCCAGGGGGCTGCAGATGCGAAGGTTGAGTAGGTTGATTGTACTTTCCGAAGTGCGATAAAGCACTTTCCGTGCACCCGACAGGCAGGCTTGGTTTTTACGCCGTAAAAACTGATCGTATTTACGTTTTTACTCGTAGAAATGCGTAAAAATACGTAAATGCAACGTAAAAACTGTCCGGTGTACATAAGGACAGTACATACAGACTTACGGAGTCCGGAGAGTGTCAGCTAGGCGCTCTGGAAGGGGCAGAAAACGAGTTTTTGTTAAGCGCCATCGACGCCCTTGCCAAGGCCGAGGTGGGCATTGTGTTGCAGGTGCTGGAGTTGGTGGAATACTGATCATTGTACGCAACTTTGATCATATAACCTGGGTGTCCCAGGGAGCCGCAAAAACGTAAAAATAGCCGTAAAAATAGGCCCTTTTGCAAATTTACGTTTTTACGCGTAAAAACGTAAAAGTAAGAACGTAAACATAAACGTAAAAAGCCAAGCCTGCCGACAGGCGACGGGGGGGCATAATTCCATGCGCGCCACTTGTCTGCCTCTTTTTAGTTCATTTTATTGCACCAGAATGTTTCAAGAATACCACAGACTCACGGAAACAACCGATAGCCGCCCACTAACTCTCCAAATTAGGAGAGTTAGCGGGCGGCTGTCCGTAGTTTGCCATTATAAAGGTACAGCCAGAACGCACTAGCGGCCGCGAAGCCAACCAGAAAGTGCCCCCGGCATTTCGGCTTGCTTTTGGTCTGAATCAGCCGAAGGCTGGCTATTGCGCCCGCCGCTGCCTTCTTGTATGCATGCTGCCTCAAGAGCCTTGTAAACCTGAACACCAGCCTGCCGCTCGCATCCGAGGCCGCGCCAAAATATTTGTGGCCGTTTGCAACACACGTTTTTTCTAAGGAAACGTTGTTCTCCTCGTGTGTCGTTTCTCCTCTTCCTCGAAACCTACCTTCCATCCACCCCAGCCCACCCTCATCCGTCCTTAGATCACACAAATTGGGTGTTTTCCATTCAGCGGGTTGCTTAATGTAAAAGCGAAGCGTTGACTCCACTCGGGGGCGTGCCACGACGGTCAAGCTGCCCACCACATAATGTGCGAACCAATTTCAGGGATGTGGCTGTGTTCGCGGCCAACGCCCATCACTTCGTTCCTGCCCTGTGCTCCTTCATCTTCCCAAACACTGAGCGCTCAATGCCGCTCCAGGGAAGTGATGGGGATATTGGCTTGGGGAGCGTTGCGGCATTCGCAGCCAGCTGCCTCACAGGACGCATTGTGTCCCTTCGTGGCGACAACCATATTCCTGAGGCGCTTCTGCGCGGTGTCAGCCAGCAGGGCTATTCTTCCTGAACAAAACGGTGCATCCGCAGCCTCAATGGAAACCCAATGCACACATTCAACACGAGAGGCGCTGCTGGGTGCAGAAGCCATCCCTGACCATCTTGGGCCAGTGAAGCTGAAATTTTGGCGCCTCTTTCAGCCAGCTTTTGTTTCGCCATTTCTCCGAATGTGCGCTCAATTTACAATCCGTCCCTCTTCAAAGAAGGTGAGCAGTCAGAACTGCATGCAACGAGTGTGTGTACCCTTCATAAAATTGTACTAATTATACATAATGTTTACATAAAATTTCGAACTGTTACGGAGTTGCAGCCTAGTGAGGTAACCACCACCAAAGTCGCAACGACTTTGATGCGACAAACGATGGGACAATTGCATCCATTGCATTTATGGCTTACCAAGCTGATTGCATTGATATGAGGGCAAATGTGGCACAGATGGCGACGTCCTTCGACCCTGGCATGTGTAAACAACTGCTGCCTTAACAGTTTCTCGAGCAGCACGGGAGCCTCAAAAACATTCATTCTGCACTCACACATAGAATCAGTACCCCTGTCATTCATAAGACTCCTCGTCTGCACTACCATCTTCTTCTTAACGCCCAGAATAATAAGCTTCAAGCGCAAAGTTCTAAACGCTGACTACAAGCCAATACATTCTATATCGAGCCACTCCCGATGCGGCTGTTCACTGCCGCAGTCCTGAAACAGTTCACTGGACTTGCCAAACAGGAGCGAGCTTCCGGTGATGACAACCAAATCCTGGGTAAACGGCAGAAAAGAGTGCTCGCCAACCGAAGCCAAAGAAGCATCTGCACAATCATGGTCCGCTCTACTGGAGTTTGGACTGCGCATCAATTGGCAGCACGGGAAGCGCCCTGATTCCTTCGTTCATCCTATCGATCATGTCCTTGACCAAACCGTACTTCTCTTGGCTAACTGGCGATGAGTCATGCAATTTCCAGCCTTCTTGAAAGGGTGGCGGTGTCGCCAAAATGGGAACCTGCAGCACCGCCAGCCTGCAAAGATCAATGTGCAAAATGTTTGGCGTTTGTTACGCGCAAGTTTGCGGCATCTCCCGTCATTGGCTTGCGCATTGGGCAAATCATTACCACTGCTTTCTCGGGAGAAAGAGGGACTTAACGGCCTCCTTTTGGCCGCAGACTGTATTGCTTTATTGGCAATGTGTTAAGTGTTCATATACCTGACGCATTCTTGGCTATTTCTACCTATCTTCATCTACTCACATCGATTCTTCGGGTGTCTGCCTCTCACCCGTTTCACCACAGTGCACAGAGGTCGGCACCCACCCACCACACTGCGCACCTTGAATTGCAGATCAGCCGCAGTGTACTGTCTCTTGTCAAACTCGTACACCTTGTTGCCTGCCCCATCCAGAAATGCCGACCCCCAGGTGTAGTGGTACATGGCCGCCTCCCCGAGCGTGGAATCGGCGGGCGGCTGCACGATCAACGGGTTGCTGGGGACAGGTCTCAGGTCCAGGTGCACGTCGTTCAGGGCACAGGCAATGGAGAAGGCGTACATCTCCCGAACCCAGCCTGGTGCACACGCAATCAACAGAGGGCGGCAATTGGCTGGCTGCGTTTCGTTTTGGACGCCGTTCTTTTCTTTTGCCCAGTGCACATTTACGTGCATTCACCGTTCAACAGCGTGAAACAAAAGATGTACAGAAATGCCATAATTGTACAAGTAGGAGAGAAGAGCATGCACTCCTGACAAATGCATGTACAGACGTATGGAGACAAGCTGTAGGTACGAGCTGCGTTTGTTTAAGTGCCACCGGCCTCTGCCCACCATCTTCAGGCTACTAAGGCTAAAGGAGCATTGCGCTTTCTGCGAAGTTCCACAATGACCACAGTTTCTCGGTGTGGTCACTTGCGAATCGTAAGTTACGGTTGAAACAGGAGGTGAGGCACTATGACAAGCGCACATTGTGCATCGCGTTGTATTTGTGAGTAAGTCGCTTTTGCATGAACAATAAAGAAAATGGAAAATGCACTGATTGTGGGCACGTTGAGTGGATTTCAGGTGTCGTGATAGATCAGGAACACAGTGTTAGCCATATCCATGGCTACTGGAGTTGCTGCCACTGTGCTGAGGAACGGAACCTATGGCCCAGTGCCCACATTAATGCATCGTGATCTCGAGAATTCAAGTGCGGCCCTGCGCCGCACCGAAAAACAGACATCGCGAAATATGTATTTGTGCATATCTCATTCGCTGGAAGCAAACGGCGGATCCTGCGAGACCCCATGGGACGCACGGTTTGCCATGTGGAGCACAACAACATCTGAGCATCACTTGACTGAATCCTGGTTTCGACGCACAAACACAGAGTTTGGCATCTGAAGAGAACGAAAAAAGTACTGCCCGCTGGACTAGATTTACGGCGCACCATCATTCGGCTAACAACGTTGCTCAAGGTGCCAGTGGCAAAAGCATAAAATTCTGCTACACACAGGGGCAGCCCTGCAACTAGACATTGAAAACTTGTACGCTAATGCCCCAGCAAAGCGATCAGTCAACAATGAATCAATTCGCCTCTCCACAGTTGCGCGCATGAATGCCAGCAGCTGCATGATCGCTGGGAATACGCCGCTGACGCTGCCCATCCGAAAGGGAGGTTCGCGCTTGTGTTCCACAAGACAGCAGCATGGCGGAAATACTTACCGAGCTTTTCCTTGCTCTCGTTGTCGCCTTCGATGTGCAAGGCCAACCTCTCCCAGTCCAGCACAACCTTGTGCAGCTCAGCTGGCCGTACAAGCACCGGCGCTGGCCCTGTTGCAGGAATGTTCGCTAGGGGTCCACGTTCCAAGGGGTACATTGTCCTGATGACCGAGCGCAGGGCTGCACAGTATTGACGCAGCAGGCGCTCATCAGCAAGCTCAGATCAGTGGATCAATCGTCACAGCCACGTGGCTTGATGCAAAAACACAGCGTTGGGTTTCAATGTGGAATCAGTTGTGCAGGGTGGGACGACGCTGCAGCATTCGTTGGGTGAATACTTTGGAATAGAACTAGACAATGCAGTTCCAGATCTGCGTTTGTTGACAACGAACGTCCAGATTGTCAGCATAGACGATTTGCTTCAACCAACAATATGATCAATCACCAATGAAGGGGCTTTGATAATTCACAAGCCAGGGGCGTGGCAGCAGTCGTGGTACTTAGGGCCACGAGCGTGTGGTTGCTGAGGCAGCGGTCAGGAGACATGTGGCAAGTGGGCCAAAACAGTATATCTGACCATAGGGTTTCCCCAGGAGCGGACGCTGATGCAGCCCGCAGGGTAATGCAGCTTTGTGCAGCATGTTGCAGTGTGGCTCAGCGTGGTTGCTGTGCTCTGTGAGCACGATAGGCCAATTCTAGAAGCAAGGCTGCAGAGCCTGCATGTGAGCGGGTGAATGGTGGTGTGGGGGTTGGGGGTTGGCGCACGTGGGTGGGTGGGCGATATGTAGCCAAAAGGGAATCCCCATGAGAGGTTGGATGACTCCGCAGCGGGGGGTGGCTGCACAGCACACAGCGCATACTCCCATTACCATGCGTGTTCACACTCAACAAGCTGTCGATACCTGAAGCCACTGAAGGGCAAAAACTGACGCATTGCTCCTGACAGCATTGCTCCTTTCAAGAGACATCTTGCATGAATCATGCAGTCCGCATACTGACCACTGGATGTGTTCCTTAAAAGTGTTGAGTCGAGAATCGGGCAATGGGCAGCGTCCTGCAGATTCTTCAGCTTTCTGGATGCTGAAGTGTGTCAGATTCGGTGATTGTGATGGTGATGTTTTGCAAGAGACCAACGCCTAGATTATCTTAGACAGTGTTTTCCCAGGCATCTTGGTTGTACCAAACGTTCAGGTAGAAATCGAGTTTATGTCATGTACACATGTGCATGGTTGATGTACTTTCTTTGCCCTTCATGGGATGGTCCCTGCCTTTATTGGTTTTGCCCACACATAGTCTGTCTCTATGAGGAGCAGCCATGGCGCCTTGATCAATGCCGGATCCGTTTTGGCAGCCAACAGAAACTGCCGCACTGCTCCCGGCCTGTCAGCTACAGGGAAGTCGCACCAGAGATCGCAAGCAGGATCACGGGGATTCACCCTCACAGTGGGCACCTGCAACAGCAGCAAATGAAACTTATGCGCCAGCAATATGGTCCCTGCTTCAAAGCTGAAAAGCTTCCAGTTGCCAACAAGACGACCTGCACCGCCTTGCATTATTTCGCCCAGAAGAACTACTACTTCCAGCTAACCATGTTCAATGCTCCAATTCTGTATACCAACTGGGACATGGAATTGCAATGTGTAGAGTCTTCATCACATGTGAGACACTAGTGAAAGCGACTTGACAGTCCTGATGCCACATGCGTGTGCCAGTGAGAAACCCATAATTTAAACAGAACCCAATATGTGCACTGCTGTTTATGGACAGTCCATGAAGACAAACAAAATGGATGTCCAAATGCACTGGGCGGGATAAAGGGAACATCCTGTTGTGTTTACTTGTGCACTCCCAAACACATACATCCATACTGCTTCAGCAACTGGTGGTTGTGGTTATGTTTGAAGCTGTGCACACTTTTCCGAGCAACCATAGTATAGCACTCCACAGCATCGCTGCTATCACACAATCCATTCTTGGCTCCATGTAATGAATGACACTGGCCAGCTCCCCCACCTCGTTCATAAGCAAGTCTTCCACTGTGCGGTGCAAGATGCGAGTGAAAGCAACCATCCTCTCGCCGCCATCCATCTGTTGGGCAAGTTTGTAAGTGGCATACCTGTTCATTGGCACATGCCACACAAAGATGCGCTACCATCATCCAGCCATCCCACAGGAGAGGAAATATCTTCTTACCACATGTAGATACTGTACAACACTCACAGCCCACATGCTGTGCTGTAAATTGTTGAACCACAACTCGTGATGAGCACCAAACACCATCACATTCACAGCACACACAGTCAGAGAGACGTTATCAGTGCCCGTGGCACATTCTACAAGCTTGCAATTACCATTATGTCCCAAGTGACACAGGCTGAATTTTGGAGTTCGTTTTGTAGGCAGCACATCGTTGAGATAGCCTGGACTTGTATTTCAGCTGTGCCTCCAGCAATAGCAGCCAACAGGCAATGCTACAAAACTGATGGCACCTGAGCTTGCTCCCAATGCATAAGATGGCACTTTTCTTGTAAGGACTGATTGGGTCGTAAAACTGCCATGCATAATTACCCAAGCATGGATCTGCACAGCAGAGGTGAGCACACAAGGCATTGCACATCAGAAACTGGGATAAAATGGAGAGCTTTTTGCATGGTGCAGCACACTGGTCACCTCAGAAGTTGTTCTCCAGGAGCCCTGCTGGAATATCAATACTTTCTAACCATCACATGCAATCTTCCAACACATATGAAGGTGTGCAGCACACTTTGCAAAGGCTGACACATATGGAACATTGAACGTGGATAGCATAGGTGCAACAGCCAGCCACACAATCTCCTGTGGCACTCAGCATACATCAAAAGTTCCAAGCCATCTTGGAAGCAACACAGATTGAAAAGGCACAACTTACATAATTCTTGTCTGGATGTTCTGGTAAGGACTGCCATTGCTCGTCACCAGCGTATGAATCGTATTGCCTTCATGTGGCCCCTCAGCAAACCCACTGACAAGGCTACTTTTCATTTCAACATGGCTCGCCTGCAAACAATCAGTGTTCACCCTGCACAGTTGAGATGATGATGCATGTGCAAGTGTGCTAGGCTGCAAAGACAGACAGAATGCCCCAATGGTCATTCTTGATGACAACACGATCGCACTGGGGCACTAAAATGCAAGGTACAACTTTGTCAGGTCATTTGCAACCGAGTTGGCAAAAGAAAGGTACCAGCCCAGCCTGCACCACAGCCACTTGTTCCTTTATTGGTAATATCAATAATTACTTAACCCAATACCAGAACTGTTGAAGCGTTGCCAAGCATTGCACAGCATGCAATGCATTGCCTCAATTTGCAGACCTGTAAATGCGCACCTTCACAGTTTGGTCCTGATCTTTGCCATGTTTCAAATCCTTCCGACCTGTGAGAGGCAGACACCATCACAGGGTCACTACAGATAGTGCCAGTGAAATGATCTAACCACAGTCTCTGAAGCGGATAACAGGAATTTGCACTCACGATTGCGGGCAACCTTTCACCCAGGAATTGGCATCATGAAGCCCATATCAGTCAGTCCGCTCTTGTATTTGGTTTTGCTGACATGCAGGACAGTACATTGCTAGATCCTGCCATTCCAATTCTTACTCCATTGGGCATCTAAGCATTGATGCACTTACTAATACACACTTGACTGTCTTTTTCACCTGTGTTTACTGAATTTTGCAATTGCTGTGATGGGACGATAGTTACTGGCATTCTTAGGAGAGTGAACAAGACACCTGGTGTCTTTTTGCCCTGCAGCTATTGAAGAAGAACGCCATAACAGGGAATCAAATCGGCAGATCCTGAATTTCAAGAGAGAACCAACAGTGTGATACGGAATGCGACCTTCACTTGCCCATAATGGGAGTCTGTATGCACCTGGCTGCAGACTGTGGATGGCTGAGTTTGCGGACGCTCCATCTGTTGCAAATCCAATAATGTTCCCCTGGCCTCCATGGACAACCTCAGGATGGCTGAACGCCGCCATGTGGACCACCTGTGAGGTGTCTGATGTGTTTCAGAGTTGTCCTCCATCTTTGGTTGCTGGCAGTCTCCGTCTCGGTGCAAAGGGTTGCAATGCCCTCTCAAATTTCATTGCGTTGAGTCCAAATGGAAAGGCTCCAGCACTCATTCGTTGCGGCAGATGCGAAGCTTGACAGCGAACACCTTTCACTTGAGGCCGCAGATGCCAAGCAGTCTCTCAACTGTTGTAGAGGTGGCCAGCACCCAACCATCATTCAAAAGCTGTCCGGATTCCCTCCCGGACTATCACGTACCAGGTCCCGACTGACTCTGTATGCATTTGCTGAGCAACGCGCCCCGCGTGTGCTAACCCAGCCTTTCCCAGTCCAGATCTCCAACATGCAAGTCCCGTCCCCCCAGCAGGGGCCATCAATCTGCGAGCGCAAAACGACAGGATGGAATTGCCCACCCATCAGCGTGTGCTCACCACGTCCGTCGCCTGCATGAACAGATCTCCAAAGAGAAGGCCGACAATGAACCCAGCCATCCCCGCTGCGAGCATCTTGCCCTTCGCTGAGCGCAGCGAGCTGGCAGCCATTTAAGGGCGAGGCCCAGTGGCACGGATGCCGCGCTGATCGCGGAGGTGGGTTCCGTTTCCCCGGCGGCGCCCGGTGCCGGTTTGGTGTTTAACACCAATACGCCTGGTGCCGTTCACGCCTTCCCGACAGTGTATCACAGTGAGGGTGCGTGTGCCTGTGATCGTGGGTGAGGCCTAAAGAAACGTGCCCGTTTGGCGGGCAAACTTGTGCTCGGGTCTGCGAGATAATATTGCAAACGCCTTTGTATTCTGGTTGGAATAGGGGCGTCCACGGCTTGTAGTTTTTGTTTGTGGGGTAGGGGTACACGGACTATTAGAGCCTACGGTTTCAGCGCAAGGCTACGGCGCTAGTTGGATGCCCAGCTCCATTGGCGCCTTTCGTCATCCAACAATGTTCAATCAGCAAGTGTTCATATGTTCAAAAGTACGCAGGTGAGAATCGCTTGAAAGCGTTTAAAAACGGCATATCGTCACCTGCTATCGTGTGACGTGGTTTTGCCGTCCACTGCACTTTGCTATTTCCATCGTTTCGGCAATTCTCGCCATTGGTTGCCATGATCCAAACTGCAAATGACAACACGACTTCCATATCGTT